GAGCCAATTTAGATCATTAGTTAATGGATCTCTATCTTCAAAGTTTTGCTAAGAATTACGAATTTTTAAGCTATTATTAAAAAAATTTTAATATAAGCATCTAATATACATATACTAGACCCCATATAATTGTGTATGCAATGGTAAAATTTATATTGATATCGAAAAAAAATTTTGTTTGCAAACAATCTAATTCTGGTCAAATTTGCAGATCATTTGGCCTGAAAAATCCCGGGCTGAATGATCTGCAATTTGACCAGACTATGCAGTTAAGAAAGAACATGAAAAAGCTGAATCTTTATCATCGGGCAAACTGACTGCTTATTTCTATTAATGAAAGTTTACCATAAAAACCAAATCAATATGAAGTGGAGCAAAAATTCGAGTACTACTGGTGTCAATCCAATGAAAAAGCATAAAATTTCTCAAGAAAATGTCGACCCAACTATAATGAAAACACTTAAAAAAAAAAAAAGTATAATTTAAGAACATTAACACATGCAAACAAAATTAATAATAATATAAAGTTTTTAAACGTTCATAAATGTATACATATTATTAGTGTTGTAATATTTGTGATAAATGAAAAGAAATATACAAATTAACTGTGTGCTAAATCAAACCTTCAAAAATTTTCCAGACATTCATTTCGAACCATCTCGTGATCAACCTGGTACACTTTTTTGGTTTTTCCTAAATTAGGTCGGTTAAATTCAATGAAATGTGATTAACCTACGATGCCGCTGCATGACACATATTTTATGTCAACTCAATTTCATTATTGTTATTGCGTGCCTAGCATTGCATATACGTTGTTAAGAATATTGCCAAAATTTTACGTAAGTGAAGTGGAAGGTATGGTGCTTTACAATATACATCCACAATTCTTTAATTGGATTTAAAATCAAAATTACTGTTACACTAAATAATTGAAGATCAAGTAAGTACATAAAAAAAAAAAGGGCCATCATTCTAAATAACGCTCATGAGTGTTATTATTGGAAAATACGGCACAAAATGAGATTTAAATTTAGAGTTCTAATAATTTTCAACTTTTGTTGCTTTTATACCGTAGGTATTACATACTTAAAAAGAAATCTTGTAAATTAGTTGTCTATCAATACTGTACAAGCGCAAAATAACGCCCACCCGCGCGTTATTTCGAGTAAATAAGGATTGAATTCGCACCCCTAATTATAACAGAGAATAAATAGTACAGTTCATCCTGTTAAACCCGACAAAACTGATAACTTCCTATGACGGATAAAAAATTAGTCCACCATGTTCGTTCCATAATCTAAATCTGATAGCCTGTCATTTCTGATAACCAGTGTTGGCGTTGAACATATGTCCAATGATTTTGAAAACGATTGGGCTTATAAAATTTTATATGTCCAATGCCAACATTGCTGATAACCGATATTCATAAAATATATCTATTAGTTGCTATATAATCTGGTAAATCTGATATTTTCGATCTAGCCAATTAAATTAATTCTGTATAGCAAGATCGGATATTATTTAGGCAATCATATTAAACCACAATCATATGACTAGTAGGTTCATTAAAGCCAGGGACGATGATTTTCTGCGGCAATTAAACCAAAATTCTGTCGTCATTAATTCGCAATTTCTGTGATAATTCTGCGATAATTCTGCGATTTGAAAAATATGCGAATTTGAAAAAAAAAACTTGCAGTTTTTAGCAGTTTTTAAAATACTGCGCTCAACTAAACAAAGGACTTAATTAATTACTACAAATATTCATAATTATTACATAATTATTACAGTATTTATTACAAATATTCGTAATCGTTAAAAATATTGGTAATAAATACGAATAACTATAATATAAATTTTATTTTGATACGTATTTTAAATAGCAGAATTCCTGTAAAAAGACACGTGAATTCTGCGGCATTCTGCATTTTGCAGAAAATCATCGTCCCTGATTAAAGCGTATTAGTTTTTTAAATCCAATAAATTCTCAAAAATGATTAAAACCCGTCCACAATGCATACTGGTTTAGACAGGGTAGATTGTATATGTATCCTCTCATTCTCGTCATTTTATTATTTTGTCACGTCTGTATTTTTATGATTTACAAGGAAAATAAATACGCTCTGCACGTGATAAATAGTCTATTTTTTAAATCGTCAGAATTGTCGATATTACAATAATTTGGATGTAATACTATGACATGTAGGATCATGTAATAATTAGTAAAGAAAATTTTACGGCATACTGTATATCATTTTTCGTTCAATTAAAGAGCAATTCCTTCAGTTTATGAAAAACAATTGTAAATTGAGTTCCTTAAAGCCTTTAAATTTACTAAATTTCATTTACTATACAATGATCTAATTTATACGTATATACGTATGTAAGTAAAAATTTTAAATCACACCAGTGATGCCTAATACAATATACGTATTATCTGATACGTAGTCAGGTTGCCAAATAACTATATATTATTTTGTAATAATTTTGTTATCACTTTAGTAATATTAGATATTAAAGTTAGCAATAGGTTTTATGATTAATAAGACCATATAAATAAGTTTTTTTTTTAAAAAAATTTGATTTATGAAATACGTATGCTCAATCAAAACTTTTCTAAGGAAAATCAACACGTTTTTATTATTGAAATTTAATTGGACATATACACGTGATTCGGCAGTCACGATCGACAGACTGCCGATTGGCCATCGAGAAAGATGTAATATGAAAAAATGAAATGCATAAGTTTTTAATCAGCCCGACACACAAATTCGATATGAATGTGAAAAGGAAATACTATTACAGGAAAAAACAATATTGAGGATGCTATTTTACATTCATAATACGTATAACAAGAGTGAGTTGCAAATGTAAACATTTACAAATATGAGTTACACTACAGCACTGAGAGAAAAAAAATTCCAATTATGCATTTTTCGGGTTTCGCCTTATAGGATTCAATATTCAGATTTTCCGATAGAACTATTTGGCTCTTAGCAACTAACACAGTAGCATCATCAGATGCATGGAAATGGAATCCTAAAAGGAGAAAACTTACCAAATACATAAGAATGTGAGTCACAGGCATAACTTACGTACTTACGTACGTACACATAAATAAATCTTATGACTGCCTAATTTTCATTGTTAGTTTAAAAGATCTACAAATGTATTTCTAGAGAATGTGTATTTTTCCGAAAAACTATATCTACGCGGTCCGAATTATATCACTTTTTTAAGTAACGTAAACGCAAACTTGCATTGCATTCGTATTTCCTTTTTAATAACTACTATATAGAACTATGTACGTAACGTACATACACATGTTTTACCTTTAAAATAATATAAACCAAATTTAATAAAAGAATCCCATCATTCAATACATTTTACGCGAATTATTAAAATAATTACAACCTCATGTTTCTTATTGAATAATAATACAAAAAAAACAAATAAAAAGGCGAATAAAATAAACAAAAGGAATCAAAAGTTCTTTCCAGTAATTAACGTATATAAAAGTTTCATTTTACAAAGTAGAAAAAAAAAACTAACTCGACTATATACACAACTATTACTTAAGAATTTGATATCAATTCTCTTATTGTGGAGTAAACTCATGTTGATGCTGGCCTATACAATAAAGGAAAATATATGTTAAAACGCTTATAATTTAGAACCTATTTGAGAGAAGGTTCGCACGCGTTTTAAAGAGCGCGAATCGTTTTAATGTACATATGAGCATACGTAAATTTTTTTAGACAAATTAGAATATTGGTAGGTAAACCATAGATATTCTTGCAAGACGTACATATATTCTACATTGCTATTTGATTACGATGTTTTTGCATCAAGATGTTAAATATACATACCGTTATAACCATTATTATTTTGTAACTGAATATTATATTGATAGGTCTGATATTCGTTCGATGCTTGAAGTGTTTGGTCTGGTATCAGATCACAAATAATAAAACAATAATGGAAGATAAAAATGATAATGTAAGTATACTATACACGTAAGAACCCATTATATTATATTTATAGTATTAAGTACGCGTTTTAAAAATAAAATGTAAACCATCATAGAATTTCGTTATGATACGATACAATGACGAACATAGTATCAACGATTAAGAAAAAACTGAATAAAATGAATGCATTCTATAATCTGTAACGTAAGTTGGCGAATGTTGCAACGGAAGAGTCCATAAAGTCGACGAAATAGAAAAAAATTCCTATGTCTGGTCGTCCAGAAGTAAACTAAAAAATCCCAGTCCCGTGACGTGGCGTCGATCAAAGAACTCGCGTTTTTTATGTATGTACATAATTGATATCACCGTTTTCGCTGTCTAAACCACCTATCTGTAAAGCATTCACGACTCCAAATGTTTAACATTTGCAGCCGTATTATTTTTTATGATTATATGGTAGAAGTACTGAAAGAATGTAAAATATAAAATATCCAAGTATATCAGATATTGAATATTCTGCATAGATGGTTTAGATTACGAAATACGGTATATTTTGATACTGAACTAATCCCGATATTGGATCATAGAATTGATCTAGAGCTCGGAAATCACGGAATTGGGTATTTCAGGAGGACTAGTCTACTGCAAAAATACTGTTTCTTATATATCATCGGTACTGTTATGGTGAGTAAAAGAAAAAATTCGATTTACATACTGTTGCTGATAGGGTTCTAAAAAGGTGCTAAAATACTACAATATTATAGCATCTGGGGTATTTTTTAAAACCCTATCAGGAACAAGCGCAAATAAATCTTTTCACTTCACCAGAACCAACACTGCCGATCCATAAGAATAGTATCTTTTGCGTAAGCGAGACACTGATTACACGTATAATTACCTTGTAAGTTTAATGATGCTTCATTATAATGCGCGCTTTGATAATCATTTGGCATTTGAACTGGATTAAAACAGTAGTGAAGAAATAAAAATATTTACGATTAGAAAAGTTAAGAGCTGGAGTCTTCAGGGTCATATGAAGGTCCTCGCAGAGATAATTTCGAAAATAGAAAACAATATACCTAGCAGATCCAATAACATCCAAGAGGCGAGATCAATATTAAGACGATGTAATGGCAGTCCGTATTGATCTAAAATTATAATGAAATAAGTTAACAACTGTCAGACCGTCCCATACAAAAGAATGAGATAAGTGAAATATAGGTGAAATATGAAATGCAGACAATTATTACCATAAATAATAGCTTGAGAGGGGTAGCTCCTAAGAGGAACGAAATTTTCAATATTGGAAGCTTGTCCTTCTAACATTTAAAATAATATAAAATAACTATTATAGAAACTAGAGCTGTAAGAAGTATCTACAGTATCCTACCCGTATTGAGAAAACTAGAGGGGTAACCTCTAAGAGGAACGGAATTTTCAATATTGGAAGTTTGCCTTCCTAAAACTTAAAAATAATATAAAATTACTATCGTAGAAACTAGGGCAGTAAGGTGTATCTGCAATATCCTACCTGTATTGAGAAAACTACAATTTATATTACGCTTAATACATGATCTACACGAATTCTGCTCATGTTCACATTCACATTTTTTTTTAAGGCGCCTGCATGATAGGCATGCTTTAATCGCTCTTTTCCTTTTTGTTGTACTTTTCTGATAATTATAAGGCGAGTACATATCGGTGGATTGTTTATTAACGCGTACTATTTTACAACAAGTAAAGGTTGACAATAGTTTGTTGTTGGGAAAGGAAAAGTTAAAACTGAGGATTTTTTAAAGCCGCTTATATCCGCAACTTAACTCATTATTTTTTGTAAATGCTTTGTTTAAACTGAGTTACATCCGCTCGTCGGGATTTAAAGACGGTAAAATAACCGTCAGTTAATATCTACGTGAAATTTTATCCCGTAATAACTTAGTGTTTTAAGTTAAAATTCGTTGTTGCACGCCAGTTACATCCGTCGGTCAAATGAAAGACGGTAACCGTCGGTTAATTATAAATATCCGCGCTGTTTTAAGTTAAATTGACAATTTTCATAAAGCTTTGTCGGTTAACTAATATAGTTAATATCTCTTTGTTAAAATTACTATCCCCATAATTTAAATGGTATAAAATTTATAGTTCGGAGTCTAAATCGCGTATCTGTGAAATGTTTAAACACTCCGAAATTAGACTGAATCACATGACTTTAAATATAGTAAAAGTTTTTACAATCCCCGTTTACAAAAATTTAAAGTTCTTTTATAACATGTCTTGTTCTACCTATGAGAGATGGAATGAACTCTTTTACTATTCTAAAATGTGAAATGATATAATTATTTGTACTATAAATTTAGATTCAAATGTATAAAAACATCATCCATTCTTTTTGGACTTTACCGACTTTTTTAACGCGCCAATATCAAAGATCTGACGATCCAACCACCAGACATTCGAATGTGGCTTATACACGTGATATTCGGAGAGATGGGGAACTTCCCCTGGATCGCCACCAAAATACTAATAAAATTTTTTCGATCACGTGAAACTATCCAATAATAAATCACGC